GACCGAGCCCACCTGGGCCAGCAGCGCCGACTCAGACAGGCCACTCAGTTCCTGCACAAGGACTCAGCCGACCTGCTCCCGCTGGACTCCCTCAAGAGGCTGGGCACCTCCAAGGACTTGGTGAGGCACCCCCTCCCCCACCAGCGTCCCCTGGCCCTTTCCTTCCACTTCCCAGACCCTGAGCGGGAGTGGCAGGACATAAAGCGCAGACCCTCCGCGTTCAGGTCTCGCTCCCTTGCTGCGACGGGGAGAGGTCATCCTGCCAACTCGAGGCTCTTCACTGGGAACGTTCCCATGGTTCAGTGGCTCTGAGGGGTCCTACTCTCATTGCTCAGCTTCCTCGACATTTTCCTCTCGTGGCCCAAAACTTGAGGGTGGTGAGGAGCTAGGCTGTTTGGGAGTGGGGGCTTACGGGAACACAGGAGCCCTCTAGAGTGTTCACTGAAAACCGGGAGGACCTGGAGGACTGGCCAGTTTAGGGTTGTGACTTCCTGCTCCTCGCGAACCACAGATTTCCTCTACCAGGTCTGTCCATTCATTTGCCGTTTTTCTTCAGAATCAAAGCATTGGCAGGGGTGGGGGGTGGGGTCGTCCATCCTTCCCAGGGCATTAGGCTTTTGTGTGGCTCTTGCCAGGGGCCCCTGGCCGCCTCAAGGGCTGCTCCCCCACTCCTAAGTGGAATGGACCTTCCACACTCCTCTCCCATCTGTCTGCAGCAGCTTTGGCCTCAGAGGAATGGGGCAGGGGAGTAACAGTGAGGAGGTGAGTGGGCGGGGGACAACTGCACATTCTGAGAGGCAGTGCTGACCAGCGGGGCTGCGAAGCCACTTGGCTTGGGATCAGATCCTGGCTCTGCCACTTACTACCTTGGGCAATTGACCTTACGTCTCCGTGCCTCAGTTTCTACATCTGTTAAATGAGAATAAAATTAACAGTATCTCCCTCATAGGACTGTTGGGAGAGTTGTTAGAGCTAATATATAAAAGCGCTTAGAACAGTGCCTAACAGCAGGCACTACCTCAATGCTAGCACTTTCCCCCAGCTACTGTCGCATTTAGTCTGGTAAATATACCTGGCCTCTGACCCATAGAAGAGAGGAAGTCCTTTGTGGAAAGGCTTCACAGCACTTGGTTCCCTGACCCCTCTCCTAGTCTGAGAAGAGGTACTCAGCCAGGCCTGCCCGAGATGTTGGAAGCATGTCTGCACGCCTGTACTCCACCAGCTGCCTCTCCCCGGGAACCCGAAGGCCAATGCAACGCCTCATTACCTTTCCTGGCCTAGCTCTACCTTTCCAGACTCCTCTCAGCCTGGGTTGCCCCCAGCAGGACCCCAGCCCACAGGCCTGGCCACTCCCTAGCTCCCAGGGAGGAAAAAAGATTGCACTGAGACTTCAATTCAGGGAACGGCCAGGGGCTGATTCCTCCTTGCAGGGGCAGCAAGCACAGCTCAGAAACAGGGATGGAGCCGGGAAGCGAGTTCTTTGGCTCTCAATGGCTAGAACCTACTAGGGAACGGCCTACCTCTGTTTGGCCCAGGAGAATGTGCTCTACAGACATTGCCATCCCAGAGTGGCAGGTCCTGCCTTCTGATGAGAAAGCCCTGGGCTTTTCACCTCTCCCCTCTGCCTAGGATCTCCCCAGCTGATCTCTAGCAGTTACCTCCTGTGGCTTTGGGAGGGAAGGCGCAACAGGTAGCGGAGACCCTATTGTCCCCTCCCTGGGTTGGCTGTGGAGCCAACTGCACAACAGTGGGAGAGGTCTGAAGCCTGTGTCCATCGTGGGAAGGTGAAGATGGGAAATGCAGAGCCAGTCTCTCCAGCCAGGCCCAGAACTCGCTGCACTTTTCCCAGCACTGGGTCTCCTGCTGCCAGTTTTGCTGCCAGGAGCAACCCCAAGGGCCTCATTAATCTAAGGGAAGAAAAACAATCCCAGGCTCCCAAGGAGAGAGGGCAGGTGGAGGGGTGCGTAGAGCCTAGGGGAAGAGTCAGTCTGCAGCAACCATTTATTGAGTGCCTACTAGATGCTGAGCCATGCCCTGGGATATAAAGATGAGTGAGATACTCAAGGACTCTCCAGGCTAATGGGGGAGTAAAATCCATACATAACATTTGTAAGCAGGGCACAGGGAGCTAAGGCGAGGGATCCCAGCCTGGGATGTATGAGGAGAGGAGCATGAAGAGCTCAGACAGGGTATTCTGGAGGAGGTACCTCCTGCATTAATTATAGGATGTACATGGAATCCCAAACTTAAGATACAAACTCTGGGCTGTGCCTCCCCTTCAAAAGCTTGGGCTCTAGCATGTAAGCAATGCAGGGTAGGGTTGTGGGGGGGTGGAGGGGGTCTTTGATGCATTTTAAACAAGGAAGTATGCCAGGCGCGATGGCTCACACCTGTAACCCAAAACTTTGGGAGGCTGAGGCAGGTGAATCACCTGAGATCAGGAGTTCAAGACCAGCCTGACCAACATGGTGAAACCCTGTCTCTACTAAAAATACAAAAATTAGCTGGGTGTGGTGGCAGGTGCCTGTAATCCCAGTTACTCGGGAGGCCAAGGTGGGAGAATTGCTTGAACCCAGGAGGTAGAGGTTGCAGCCAGCTGAGATTGTGCCACTGCACTCCAGCCTGGGCGACAGAGCAAGACTCCATCTCAAAAAAAAAAAAAAGGAGTAATTGGTTAGTTTTATGTTTTACTTCGGTGCTTCTCAAACTTTAACCTGCACATGCTGTACATGAATCACCTGGGGATCTTGTCACAATGAAACATCTGATTCAGTAGGTATGAGAGTCTACATTTTAAAGAAACTTTGAAATCATGTTCAAGTTGCTGATCCGAGGACCATGGTTTAGAGTAGCAAGGTTTTTAGCTTGCTTCCAGTCTGAAGCTCCAAGCAGATGTATTTGAAAGGCAACAGAACTGGAGGCAAATTCTTATAAAATTAGGAAGGTGTTCCAGGCATCCATGAGAGCTGTGGGCAGTCTAGAATGCAGGCAGTAACAGAAAGGAAGGATGGAAGCCAGGCGGTATAGTATACACCTATGGTCCCAGCTGCTCAGGAGGCTGAGGCTGGAGAATGCCTTGAGCCAAGGAATTAGAGCCCAGTCTGGGCAGCATAGCAAGATCCCGCCTTGAAAGAAAAGAAGACAAAAGAAAAGAAAGAAGAAGAGAGAGAAAGAAAGGAGGGACAGATTGATTCTAGACAAAAGGCAAAACTTGCAGAATTTGCGAAGTGATTAGATGGAACGGGAGTAGTTGCAGATGAGGGACAGGTCAAAGATGAATCCCAGCATCAGTTCTTAAGAATTTTTTTTTTTCTGAGACAGAGTCTTGCTCTGTCACCCAGACTGGAGCGCGGTAGTGTGATCTTGGCTCACTGCAACCTCTGCCTTCCAGGTTCAAGTGATCATATCACTTCAGCCTCCCAAGTAGCAGGGACTATAGGCATGCATCACCATGCCCAGCTAATTTCTGTATTTTTAGTAGAAAAGGGGTTTCACCATGTTGCCCAGGCTGGTCTCGAACTCCTGACCTCAAGTGATCCACCCACCTCGGCCTCCCAAAGTGCTGGGATTGCAGGCGTGAGCCACTGCGCCCGGCCTAGTTCTTCAATTTCTTACTTCTTTTCATCACACCACCAACCCTGGGATCTGCAGCCCATTGAAGGATAAGATCAGAGGGGAAGGAAAAAAAAAACCTCCTAGTTAAAAAAAAATGTAAATTTGAGACAAAATTTCCCCTAAGCATACTAGTTCCTGAAATGTCCCTTTGGCCACTAAGTCAGTTTAACTTAGAGACCATTCTCCTCTAAGTTTAACTCAGGACGATTCTCCTCTTCCCAATTCTTCACTGCCAAGCAATCTATTGGTGTCCCAGAAAAATGGCATGATTTGATACTGGGGCTTACTCTGTGCTCATTACTTGACTGCTGACACCCTAAGGTAAGCTCCTAGGGTAAAGCTCAGGTCTAGGGTGGGGTTGGGGGAGCATCCTGAGATATCTTTTTTTAAAATTTTTTTCAAAGATGGGGTTTCACCATGATGGCTAGGCTGGTCTTGAACTCCTGACCTCCAGTGATCCACCCACCTCAGCCTCCCAAAGTGCTAGGATTATAGGTGTGAGCCACCGTGCCCAGCGCATCCTGGGGTATCTAAGTAGGGTAACTGAGCAGCCTGGATACCTGGGTTTAGAACTGCCTACCTTCATTGTTTTGTGATGGAGCCAGCAGCCACACAGTGTGATCCAAAGACGCCTGGTGGAGGGAAACCCGAATCGGCTTCAAGGGGAGTCTCCCCGGGTGCAGGCCTTGATTCATGGTCAGGAGAGCAGGAACAAGACCAGCAAGACAGAGAGTCCAGCTCTTCTGGTCAACTGCAAGGTGAGAGGCCTCCCAGGGACACACTTTCATTAACAACCCTGCCTGCGGCTCACTTTACCTGCTCTCCTTTCTGCCCTGATGGGAGGGGGAGGGAGGGAGAAAGGGCACCTCTCTCTCTCGCCTAGACCTAACCATGTGACCAATCCTCTACCTCCTTTCTCCTTGCCTCAACCCATCTTCCCTCTGTGCAATTCCATCTGTCACCACCATTACTCTACCCCCTTTCCTTGGTCAAAATACAGTACTCAAATGTAAGTAAGTACTCCTCAGTGTGCTCTACACAGACGAATGGTGTGTGTGCAAGGATAATGTAATTCTGGAAAAAACTCATGTGTAAGGCATTGGGCCTGTGGTCCTAGTTCTTAAGAACTTTGATCATCTTAAAAACAAGGATCATCTTTGATCATCATTTAACCACTCAATGATTACTGAAACATTCCCAATAAATTCCCGCTCACCGTCTTTGCTCTGTGCCGTTTCTCCCTGGATTGCTCTTCTTGCTCTCCGATCATTCTGGGTCTACATTCTGCAAGCTTTCAAATCCCAGTTCAGATGTTACCTCCTTCTTGAAACCTTTTCTGATTTCCCCAGTAGGAAACAGCCTTTCCTCCCTCCCAACCTCTAAGGCGTGCATGCTACTCACATCCTTGTATTTTTTTTGAGACGGAGTCTTGTTCTTTTGCTCAGGCTGGAGTGCAATGGCACCATCTTGGGTCACTGCAACCTCCACCTCCTGGGTTCAAGTGATTCTCCTGCCACAGCCTCTCAAGTAGCTGGGACTACAGGTGCATGCCACCACGCCTGGCTAATTTTTGTATTATTAGCAGAGATGGGGTTTCACCATGTTGGCCAGGATGGTCTTGATCTCTTGACCTCGTGATCCACCCACCTCGGCCTCCCAAAGTGTTGGGATTATATGCGTGACCTACTGCGCCTGGCTCCTTTTATTATTTAGAGACAGAGTCTCAGTCTGTCACCCAGGCTGGAGTACAGTGGCATGATCACAGCTCGTTGCAGCCTCAACCTCATGGACTCAAGCGATTCTCCCACCTCAGCCTTCTGAGTAGCTGAAATTACAAGTGTGTGCTACCAGGCCTGGCTAAATTTTTTCTTTTTTTGTATTTTTAGTAGAGATGGGGGTTTCACCACATTGGCCAAGCTGGTCTCAGACTCCTGGCCTCAAGTGATCCTTCCACCTTGGCCTCCCAAAGTGCTTGGATTATAGGCATGATTCACTGGACCAGGCCATTCACATCCTTTTATAGACCTTAAAACTTTCTGCCATGTAGTAGAGTTATATTTTACTTCCTTTAGACACCTAAAGAACAGCATTCATTGATGTACCTTCCAGTGACATATCTTATAGTAGATACTCAATGAATGTTTGGAATGAGAAAGTGACATATATACATCCAAGTGTATATCAAAATGTCTGTCTATCTCCTAAAATAAGTGGACTTGTCCTCCTTTGTTTCCAATGGTGAACTTCCTGGTTACTGCATCTGAGTTTCCTAACAGGGGATTCCAGTCTTCTCATCCTTCCTCTATTCCTAACCTGGAGTTTTCAAACCAGGAGGCCATGAATCTCCCAAGGATTCCTCTAAACAAATCACCATTTCTCCATTTCTGGCAGATCTTCCCCAAACTTATGAACTCATCACATATAACTCTACTTTTTTCTTTTCCCATTTTATTTTTTGTAGAGACAGGGTCTTGCTATGTTGCCTGGGCTGGTCTTGAACTTCTGGCTTTAAGTGATCCTCTTGCCTCAGCCTTCCAAAGTGTTGGAACTACAGGCATGAGCCACCGCACCTGGCCCACTTCCTTTTTTGATTTCTTTATCTGGGAGTTTTGCCCCTATTGTATGAGTCTCATAAAAACCAGTTTTAAAGACAGTTAATTTTATCCACTTATTTCTAAAAGGGAATCATCAATGGGCTGGGAAAATGAAGGATCCAATCCCAACCCAGTCTCCTAGGGACTCACTCACTGATCCACTGCAATCCCTCTTTCTTAGTGCCAGGACCAGCTGCTTAGAGTGGCCGTGGACACAGGCACCCAACACAATCAGATCTCTGCTGGTTGTCTCAGCCGCCTGGGGTAAGAGTGTGGCCCAACCAAGCAAATGGGGGACAGGGTTTCTTTTTGGGGTGATGAAAATATTCTCAAATTAGATAGTGACGATAGATGCATATTTTATCTCAATAAGCTGTTATTTACCAAAAGAGTGGCTAGAATATTCTGGCAGAGAAGACAAGGACTTAGATCCCACGGGGGGTCAGGGGTTGGAGGTGAACCCATGGCAGAGAGGGACATCTGCTGATTAATGGGGGCTGTGGTAGCCATAACCCTTGCTTCCCAACCACAGGTTAGAGAAAATGGTCCTAAAAGCCTCAGCTGAGGACCTGGCCGCTGAGCCCCCAACCCAGGTGGAGCAGCTGGAGCTACAGGTGGGGCAGGAGACTGTGGTGTGCTCAGCACAGGTGGTGGGTAAGTCTCCCCTTCTGCAACAGCCCTGATGCTCACCTCTCACCTTTCTCTTCAGGGTGGGCCAAAGGCAGAGACTTTCAGCCCCTCTGGCAAAAGGAGTCCCCAGAAATGTTCTGACTATCCCTTATCTCTGTGCCAACATCCTTGAACCTGGGGATGGGGTGGGCAGAGAAGGAGCAAGGGCTGAGAAGAGGGCACCAGTGACCACAGGGCACCTTCAGCCTCTTCTGTTTTCAAATGGTTCCTGCAGATGTTGAGAGTCCTGAATTCTGCCTGGGCCTGCAGACTCTGCTTTCTCTCAAGGTAAGGCACCCACACTCAGGGCCTGATCCAAAGCACTGGGGAAAAGTAGTAGAAGGCACAAGTGTGGACGCCTGGACCAGGTTCTGATGACAGTGACTTAGAGATGGGCAATTCTCGCTTTGTTTCCTTAGAGATTCCTTACTTACCACCAAGTGAAAAATCAAGAGAACTGGGTCATCCCCCTCCAACAGGAGTCTAGGGAAATGGGGATGGGAGAAGAGCAAAAGGCAGGTGGAAGCTGTGGGAAGTGGGAGGGGGAACGAAAGGAGAAGGCTGGGAGGCAGGTGACAGGCTGAGGTGACCTGGCATGACTGCTCTACACCCCACAGTGCTGCATTGACCTGGAGCACAGAGTGCTGCGGCTGAAAGCCCCGTTCTCAGAGCTGCCCTTCCTACCTTTGTACCAAGAACCTGGCCAGTGACTGCTGTCTCAGTCAGTCCCCAGAGGGAAAGACCTTGACTCAGGGGAAGAGGTGTGTGGGGAAAGGGGGCTCTTGGAGCCAGGTAGCTGGGGACTATGGTGTCTGCCCTTTGAATCACCACCCTGACCCCTGTTGTCCCATTTCCCCCAGCCGGCCACATTTCTCTCTGCTTCTTGGCAGCTGCCCGTCCTACTCCCCAGGAAGAGTCTTCACTAGAGGGGCCCCGATGCCAGGATTCTGATTCATTTCCCTCCCAAGAAAAGCGAAGCCAAATCAGGACCACAGATAGGAACCTAAGGAAAACAGGGTGCCTGCTTGGCCTGGGTCGAAGGCTCTGCCGACTGCTATCCTTGCCCACTTCCCAATCTCACCCCAAACACAGCTCATTTTCCCACACCACCAAGTCTCTCACCACAAATTATCTCCCACAACCAGACTGCCATGCCTCACCAACCTGGGTCCCCGGACCTCCTACAGTCTGCCTCTTGGATTCTGTACACATCTGCTCACAGTTGAGTAGGGGAAGAAACATTACACAGAATTCAATACAAGGGGAGGGAGTTAGTACAGGAAGGTCCATCTCATAAGGCTGACAGCTTTTATGAGGTACTTTTCCGGGGCTACAAATATCTGAGGCCAGTTATTGTCTGACGACCCTGTGCAAAACCTTAGACATACTTCTGCCATTAACGCTGAGTATTTATCCTCTATCTGCTTTTCGCGCCCGCCAAGCCCCTGAACTTTGGGTGCGTGTGTGGAAAGGCCTCGTAGAGAACTGCTCCTACGAGGTGGACAGGATAGTGAGGTTGTCAGCACTCAGACTTAACCTCTTCAATATTCCTTCTGATTTCTAGAACTATCCACCTCAATAGGCCTTCTCCCTATCCCCATCTCTGGTCTCTTGAGTTTAAGCTTGCCTTTTCCTGGAATCAGTGGCTTTCTAAACCCCTGCCAAGCTTTCCCAAAGCAAAAAGACAGAGGTCTTTTTTTTTTAAGTTTGGAGTCTGTCAGGAGACAGAGGCTTTCTGAATTCATTGTGAAGCGAAGAATCCAAACCTTAAGAGGCCAGACCTTTGAGAGTCTTTCTGGCTGGTTTGAGTCTCTCAAATCATGGGTTAGGAGTAAAGAGGCTGGGCGCAGTAGCTCACACCTATAATCCCAGCACTTTGGGAGGCTGAAGTGGGCAGATCATTTGAGGTCAGGAGTTTGAGACCAGCCTCGGTCATATGGCAAAACCCCATCTCTACTAAAAAAATACAAAAATTAGCCAGGTGTGGTGCTGTGCATCTATAATCCCAGCTACTTGGAAGGCTGAGGCACAAGAATTGCTTGAACCTGGGAGATGGGGGTTGTAGTGAGCCAAGTTCATGCCACTGTACTCCAGCCTGGGTGAAAGAGACCCTGTCTCCAAAAACAAACAAAAAGAAGGCGCAGAGAAAGACAGTGGTATAGCTAACCTGAACAATGGAACTGGGACCCTTGGGCTGAAACAGTCTTGAGCCTGGGGTAGACTGAGTTACAGAAGAACGGGCATGCAAGGAGCTGCCCCTGACATCTGGCCTGACCTTTCTCAGCTGCCTGCCCTGTCTTCAGAAGGAAAGGAGAGGGGCTCACTTACCATGCCTACCACAGTACCTGGTCTCAAAATCCTAAAAGCTTCCCTCTCCCTTACTGCCTTGCTCCACAAGGTCCGCTTTCCTGGGTCTTGTCCTGTGCCTTTCCTTGTCTGGCTCCTGCTGCTTCTGTAACTGCAGACCCCAGGCCCAGTGGCAAGCCCTCGGCTCAGCTGCTTCTCTACCGGAATAAACTCTTGTTTCTCTATGTCGATGATCTGTGGTCTTCCTTTCTGCCTATCAAGAGCTGAATGGTAACTCTGCCCGTTGTCCCTTACAGAAGGGAAATATAAATGCGGGCCCTCACTGAGGCTGACCCATCTGACTAGGGTCAATATAATTGAGAGCAATGGTTTTCAAGCTCCTCTGACCGCAGCTTACCACAGCAGGAATACAGTTTACACGGTACTCAGTACACACATGCACATTCGACTGCAACAAAACGGTACTTACCTACACTGTGAGCAACGCATTCTGCTATTTTCTATTTTACTTTATTCTATTCTACCTATTTTAAAAATGCTGGCCATAATTCACCAAAGGACTGCATCCACAGTTTGAAAAACACCGATCTAGAGCACAGAGAATCAAGAACAGACAGCACATAAATGGACCAAAATAGAATTCTGATTGTGGTCTGGACCATAAACCTGCATCACATTTTAAATGTCCATTGTCTTACAGACAATAAGGTGTTTTATGGGGAATGGGTGGGTAGGAAAATGGGAGCAGGGCTTCTGAAGCTAATACCTGAAGAATATGGCAATGTGAGAAAGCACTGCCCCAGATGCTTCAGTAAATGGAGGAAAATCATCTCAGGGCTGATAGGAACATGGGTAAGACCAGACTGTACAATGTGCTGAAAGACACCTCAAAACAAAACTCTGCCATTCCTTTAATAATTACTAATGTCAGCCAGGCATGGTGGCTCACGTCTGTAATCCCAGCACTTTGGGAGGTTGAGGCGGCCGGATCATGAGGCCAGGAGTTCGAGACCAGCCTGACCAACATGGTGAAATCCCATTTCTACTTAAATACAAAAATTAGCTGGGTATGTGGCCGCACCCGTGTAGTCCCAGCTACTCGGGAGGCTGAGGAAGGAGAATAGCTTAAACCCGGGAGGCGGAGGTTGTGGTGAGCCAAGAGTGCGCCATTGCACTCCAGCCTGGGTGACAGAGCGAGACTCCATCTCAAAAAACAAAACAAAAGCAAACAAAAAACAATGACTAATGTCACTGTGCCATGAAAAACAGAGCTGAAGATGGGGTGGAGCCCTTACCTCCACTGCTCCCTTGGGCCTAAAACCTGGTTTCCTTATGGGTGTTGGAGCCATGCAAACAAGTCTGTTTTCTACACAGAGTGGGGAGTGGGACATGTCCCAGATGATTTGGAACAAGGCCAGGGTCCTATGACCCTGCTGGTGTGATGGGCGACGTCCATAAGTAAATGGGCAGAGTCAACTTATCTCTTCTTTCACCAAAAAGACTGCAAGGTCTATAGTTTGTGGTCATCCTAGGGCTGCTGCCATCTTTCACACCCAGAGTGAAATCCTGCACTTCTGTAATGCATATTCCCTATCCTGCCAATACCACAGATACCTTTAGGGGGTAAGGTGGGGGTTCAGAAGAATCCTTCACCAACTATGAGGCAAGTACAGCTAGGTGGGATCCTGGAGGCTTGAGGGAGCGTACTGTGGTGGCTGGTCCGGATGGTAGAGCGTTTGGTGAAGCAGGGCACGAGCCACAGGGAGGTCGTCAGGATCTGAGAGCCAAGAAGGGATGGGTAAGAGGCTGTGGGTCTCCTGGGCACCCTGGCCACTGGCTTTCCTGGGACTCACCCACGCCCAGCTCCTGCAGCAGGCTGTGGTACTCCGGCTTGGTCTCCAGCAGTTTTATCAGATTAGTAGACTCCATCCGCTCCAGCTGCACCTCCCAGTACACATAGATCTTCTGGTTGAAAGTGACGTATACGAGACAGGGGCTGTTGTGGCCCTCTTTGCAGGCGTACAAGCCTGGGAGATGTGGGCAGGGAGACAAAGGTCAGGAAGTTTCAGTGCCAGGGGTGGTGGGCAGACAGCAAGACACAGACCTCTGAGTCAGCAATTCCCTTCCTCCCACTGATGTCAGGAAAAAAATTAAAGGCTCTTTCTTCTCTGTTAGGAACTCAGTAAAACAAGTAAGACAGGAAAAGATCTGGCCCACTTCAGATAGAGAAAAACGATAGTAACAAAACCCAGGCAGAACAGCATCCGAAAGGTGCTGTCTGTGATTTTCCCATCGTAGTGACATCCCTGGAGTGATGAGGGATGACCTTGCTCACCCAAGGGCGAGACGAGCAAAACGTGATCAGAAAGTAAGGCTTCTCCTACGTGCAATCCCTCCTTCCAAATGCATCCCCCAGCCTCCCAAAGAATGAGTGCTGCCTCCCAAGGCCCCTGATTTGGAACTAATGAAAATGCTCTAGGAGAACTTTCTTCACAGAGACCTGGCATGCTCAAGTGGAAAAGAACTTCCCGATGTCTTCACACATCCCAGACAGACAACAAACTCATTCCATTCTTTGAACTATTCAGGGGTGGAGATGTGAGGGTCTGTTATTTTTTTCTTATTCAAAATTGTCAAGCTGGCCATGTAGTACCCACCCCTCACCCCCCAAACAAAAGAGGTGAAGAACTCACTGGTCAATAAAGACTTACATGAGGGGATACGTCAGAAAGGGAACTGAGAGGCAAACACTTCCCTGGCATAGCTAACCCTCTTATCTAACTTAAGTGTGGTTAGAAAGGGGCCGTGGGGGCGGAGTCACCTGCACAGAAGGCACGGATATTTTCGTCCACTTGGAAGCGGACGACGGTGCGGTTGTGATCAATAATGTATGTCTGTCCATCCCAGGCACATGCAACTACCTCCTCATGCCCGTTGCCCTGAAAAAGGCCAGAGACAAGGCACATAAAAGAGCCGTGGACTGGACTCTGGATGACAAACAGTGAGCTGGGGGGGAATTTCACTCATGGGCGGGGCAGCAAAAGGGGCTGTCAAATGAGCTCACGTGATGCTCAAGCCATCCTAGTAAGTATGCAATTTTATATAGAGGAAATCTCAGCTTATAGAAATATAATCATTCACCAAAGGCCACTCAGCTAGGAGGCAGCAGAATCAGGGTTCGAACCCTGGTCTGCCTCTCCTCCTAAACCAAAAAGCAAGCCTGATGGCAATATAAAGTGTAGCCCTTACCTGCTGATTCAGGGGCCACAGTGCAATTAAACAGAGATCATACACGGACAAGAAAAACCTACAAAA